CATTCATCTTACAGCCCTAGTAACCTTAGTAAATTGATTTGAATCATTGAAATAACAAGTTGATTATAGTAAGGCAGGGAGGACCCGCTTAATTAGTATCAATCATGTCAGAGAAATTTGTAGTCTGATACCAGAATGAATTACAACAATAAGGCTACCCAGGAAAATTGATGGTCATGTTCAAACATTGAAAAGATTTAGAATGTTTTTTTTCATGAATAATTGGCAATTTGTTTTATCTTGTTGGTTCAAATTTAATAAGACTAGTTGAGGAATCAATTGATCCATGTGATATAGTTGATGAGTCTGTCATTGTGCCTGTCTCTCTGTAACAGCCACCCCGCCACAACATGTGTCTGATCTGAGAATGACTGCTGTATCACACAGATCACAAACATTCCACCACAATTATCCTACAGACAGAAAGAACAATGTCAGACAGTGGCAACATCACTTAAATCATGTGGTCCTGTTACTTTATTGGTCATCGCTAAATTAGTATGAACCTGCTGTCCATCCAAACATTTCAGATACTGATCTGAACCTGAGATCATACTGAACATTTCAGGTGTACATTCAAACATGATGTCAAACCAAACTTTTTATACACATATCCAAACCTTACATTATTAAGTGAAACCAGATGTCACACTAAATTATTTCAGATGCAGTCTCAAATCTGATATTTGATAAAATATTTCAGACACTGACCCGAACCTGATGTTTGATAAAATATTTCAGATGCTAACCCAAATTTGATATCTGATCAAACATTTCAGACAATGGACCCAAACCTGTCCGATTAAATTACCTGAACGAATGAGATGAGATGTCTAGATATCTTTGTCATGTCATCAGGCAGATAGACATCTGGGTATGACTATCTTATCTTATATATATAGTCTTAGAGTTGTCCATCATGAAGCAAATTTGATTAAAAAATCTCTTTCTGTAAAAAGACTGGTTGACCAAATATTTCTTTAATTGCTACACAGAGTGACTGCTTTACACTCAGACAAAAGATTTCAGGGGACAATTGCTATACCATCACACCAAGAATTTCATTCTGGAAATGACTACAAGACTGACAGACCAAATATTTCTTGGAATGCCAGTGCCACTTGCTAGATTAAACCACCTGATGTCTAGATGAAAGATTGAGCCATCATAGCCATAGCAAGCCAAATTTAGTCAAGATGAGTCATACAGCATCTGCACTACTTTGGAGAACCTGGACATGTTAGAGGTGTCAGGAACATCAGAAATATCATAAAAACACTGTAATTACACAACGCGGACTGCCTCCCACATCAGCTTTAACAGTGGCAAATTTGTCCATCTACAACACTCACTGCTGTAGGTGCACTGAGAAACAGCTTTACTGTTCTAATCATATTTTGTTGCTTAGCAATTAAAGGATTTGAGCTATTTTGGTAATTTATTGATCACAATTGATAACAAAAGTAGGTGCCTCTCTATAGGGAAAGTGAATTACATCTTGTAATATCCTTTGCTATAGAAATCATTCTTGTATGTCAATATTATCAAAATGAGCGATGCGCAAATGAGATAATCTTTTAGTAAACAGGTTTTGAAATTCATCTGTGGCATTAATTGTGAAAAAGGTTTTTTCATTATTCACCACTGTTAATGAAAATATGATTTTCTTCTGACAACTGCTAAAATGGTAAAATCAAGATACATTATATCAAACTTTATCATTAAGAAATCCCTTGACGTTGTCTCCAGTGTCTATTACTTCCATATCCTGAATTAGTTCTCGTCATCATGATCAATTTTGAAAAGTTAAATGAAAAGAACTATACCGGTAAATAAGCTAATCCTATCATAATGTATAAGGATAATGTTTTGAAGTGTTCATCTGACCTTGAAACAGGTAATGTTTTGAAAAATAAAGGAAAAAGATGAAATACTTTGAAATTACAAACAACAGACCTAGTTTGATGTGTATAAACGAACCGGTTTCAATCCTTTAAAAAGTTCAACATGTTTCAACTCCTGCAGGTAGTTTCTCATTTGAGAATGTGATATTTTCATTGACCAAGATTTAAACGGCTGGTGCTGTCGATAAAACAGAAGACACTTACCCTTAGCCAAAAAGTGACAAAAAGAAAACAATCACAACACTGGCCCGGTACTAGGCTAAGTCTCATTCCCCTTGTACTTTTCGGGAGTCTCTGTGTAAATCTTTTTTTTGTTTTTATTTTGCCATAGTTTCATTGATTTGTGTTTGAATTCAGATTCTGTTAACATGTCAAGTATTTTCTTGGTTGTTCCACAGACCTTGGATGCCATGTGGAATTTGCACACTAATACAACAGATGTCAGTATGAGAAGAACGGTCATTGGTTGTAATGATACTGGTTGGATAATTTGTTCCTGACAGATGGGATTAGGGGACATATATAATTTGTTGCCAAGACTGCCTTTCTGTATTTTTAATATTTCAAGACTATAAAGCATTTTACACGACAAGGATTTTCATAACACAGTTTGTACTCATTAGCATGACAAAGCTGAAGACAGTTGGAACTATTCTATTTGATTTATTGCTATGGAGATAAATTCTCTTGATAGTTATAGGCCAGATAACAACATCTGACATAATTGTAAAACAAGTTCTTCTGCATATACTCTAATCACTTATAAAAGTGACAAAAAGTACAAGGAACGTCAGGAACATTAAAAATCTTTGCACCAAAACTCATGAACTCGGCTATCAAAATTGTTTAGACTTCATGATAAAACATAACAAAAAAATAAATCTCATAACGAAAATGTTACAGGGCTTTCATGTAATCACTTCTTTGAACAGAGAGATAAATACTGAAAACAAAATAGCTTTAAAATCGTGGTGAAGTTTATACAGTATTCAGCCATTCAGCAAAAGTCAAGAAGAAAAATACCATCTGAGAGAACATACAAATGGCTGATTAACAAACTTCACCAAAAACAAAAACTTGAATTTTTTAAATCATTTATTCAACTTATCTATCACATTCTGTATACCAAGGGTAGACCCAACAGTCTATCACATACTGTATACCAAGGGTAGACCAAACAGTCTATCACATACTGTATAACCAGGGTAGACCCAACAGTCTATCACATACTGTATACCAAGGGTAGACCCAACAGTCTATCACATACTGTATACCAAGGGTAGACCCAACAGTCTATCACATACTGTATACCAAGGGTAGACCCAACAGTCTATCACATACTGTATACCAAGGGTAGACCCAACAGTCTATCACATACTGTATACCAAGGGTAGACCCAACAGTCTATCACATACTGTATACCAAGGGTAGACCCAACAGTCTATCACATACTGTATACCAAGGGTAGACCCAACAGTCTATCACATACTGTATACCAAGGGTAGACCCAACAGTCTATCACATACTGTATACCAGGGGTAGACCCAACAGTCTATCACATACTGTATACCAAGGGTAGACCCAACAGTCTATCACATACTGTATACCAGGGGTAGACCCAACAGTCTATCACACACTGTATACCAAGGGTAGACCCAACAGTCTATCACACACTGTATACCAGGGGTAGACCCAACAGTCTAACACATACTGTATACCAAGGGTAGACCCAACAGTCTATCACATACTGTATACCAGGGAAAGACCCAACAGTCTATCACATACTGTATACCAGGGGTAGACCCAACAGTCTATCACATACTGTACACCAGGGGTAGACCCAACTGTCTATCACATACTGTATACCAGGGGTAGACCCAACAGTCTATCACATACTGTATACCAGGAGTAGACCCAACAGTCTATCACATACTGTATACCAAGGGTAGACCCAACAGTCTATCACATACACTTTGCCTGCTTTACGAAGCTGATGCTGTTCATTTCAATATTCAATTCCATTTCGACATGAATGCTTCATGTGAAATTGAGTTAAAATCCCTTTACCAATACTTAACAAGTGGTGTTTTTGAGATTAATAGTACCATTCATTCTATTAAATAAGATATATACAAGCTGAGAGCATTAAAACCTCATGGGTATACAAAACATCGTATATTTAAGTCTTTTGTTGAAAAGAATTTTGCAAACATAGTCTAAATCATTTTAGCAGTTTTTGAATTAGATATAAATGATTTATTGATGACAGAAAAATAAATTCATAGGGGTAAAATTATTGTGTCTAATAAGTTACTAACAGTTCTTGTCACAAAATAATATTACTATCACACTGACGGTACGTTTTCCCTCTAGAACAGGAAACTTTTTTTTCACACACAGTAATTTTTCTTACAGCAGATAACATCAGTGAACTAGTTTGAAATAATCAATTATTAGTAAAATTCTCTACAAAACAAACATATTTAAAATGGAAATTTCGGTTTCTTTTGACTAGAGCGATCAATTTCTGTTGGTAGTGGTAGTTATAAATCTCGGTGTACAAAGAAGCTTTAACAGAAAATAGTAAAAAATGATTTCACGTGAGGGAAATCTAGGCGGTGATCTATCGTTGATTTAGTGTTGTGGACCACTTATAGACATTTACTTGACATGCCCACATGACAAGCTGAGATATTTTACAACTACAAATACATAGATTTCTCCTTGAAACCGTTACTTTGTGACATCCGCAATCTCCTGAAACAACTCACTCTGATTAATTTCCTGGAAATTTGAAATTGGAGCATTATGTTATAATGACTGCATGCATGGAAGCTGAAATTGATATCATATAACATTTTCTCACTTTCCAGGAAATATCCAAGTCTTTGAGAGTGTTGACCAATGAAGACCTAAAGGTTCAACAACATTCTTGAAAGTATGGGAGAAAACTAGGCAATGTTTGTTCTTGAAAATACTGGTTAATAAAAAATCAAAATTATTTTTTTCTTCAGATTTGCAGGGAAAAGGTAAATTCCATTCTTGGAGAAAAGGGGAGACAACTAGGAAGGAAATAAAGATGCAAAGTTTACTTACCGAGGCAGGAGAAGCCATTGGTGCTGAGCATGTATCCCTCTTTACAAGTACAGAAGTAGCCATTGTCTATAGGTATACAGGAGTGATCACAGACCTTCTCCTCTGGACATTTACCTGGTGGAAAACAAAAAAACACATCATCATCATCATCATTTCATGATATCATCATCAGCAGAAGTAGCATTTGGAAGATTCGAAGATTTCTTCTATCAGTGGAGTCATTTACAACTACCACATATTGGTCACCTCAGTGGTACGTATACATCTCACAACTACCACACATTGGTAACCTCAATGGTAGGTATACATCTTACAACTACCACACATTGGTAACCTCAATGGTAGGTATACATCTTACAACTACCACACATTGGTCACCTCAATGGTAGGTATACATCTCACAACTACCACACATTGGTCACCTCAATGGTACGTATACATCTCACAACTACCACACATTGGTCACCTCAATGGTACGTATACATCTCACAACTACCACACATTGGTCACCTCAATGGTATGTATACATCTCACAACTACCACATATTGGTCACCTCAATGGTACGTATACATCTTACAACTACCACACATTGGTCACCTCAATGGTATGTATACATCTCACAACTACCACATATTGGTCACCTCAATGGTACGTATACATCTTACAACTACCACACATTGGTCACCTCAATGGTAGGTATACATCTTACAACTACCACACATTGGTCACCTCAATGGTACGTATACATCTTACAACTACCACACAATTGTAACCTCAATGGTACGTATACATCTTACAACTACCACACATTAGTCACCTCAATGGTACGTATACATCTTACAACTACCACACATTAGTCACCTCAATGGTACGTATACATCTTACAACTACCACACAATTGTAACCTCAATGGTACGTATACATCTTACAACTACCACACATTAGTCACCTCAATGGTACGTATACATCTTACAACTACCACACAATTGTAACCTCAATGGTATGTAGACATTTTTGCTTGTGAAACTGATGAAATGGAAAGCTTTACCGATCAGACTTGTTTATCACTATTGAGTAGAATAAGTAGTGTCTCAATACCATTAACAGTTGCAGCACATTGACTAGCCTGATCGTGATAAAGATCTTGTATGTAGACCTGGGGTCCAGAAGTGCCAAGACCCTACAATATTATCTGTACGATACAGTAAAATTATTTATCTGTCAGTCAGGTATGATGGTGAGCATAAATATTCCTGAGATGATATTCTACCATATGACCAAGTACAAGTGTTAAGTCTAAGTAGAGAACCTGGACATTGTATCTCGCACCTGATATATAATGTATAGCTACAACATCCAGAATACACATCCAGATAATTGTTTTTTGTCAGGCAATGCATACACTCCACAGTGCCTACAGAGCTACTTCTTAAATTAAGGACCAACTAGAGAAAAACATTGCCGAATGAGTGATACAAAACTGCATGCTAAGTCCTTAAAATTGGAGACTAGAGGGCGATTTGAAGTCTTATCTGGTGAATGTCAGAAAGACATGGAAACTTAAACTGAAATCAGGTAAAATAGAAAGCGATGAGAGATTCATTGGAAGTAAAAGACTATGTCATACAGTAAAATTGTCATTGACTATGATAACTCCGAGTCAGAAGATAGAAACAACAATCTGTCAAGCCTTCAGTACAAGAATCATCTGGATTTGACATACAAGATCAGTTCTGAATCAAGATGAGTGGGCCCATTGTGTCTTTCATATATATGATTAGGACTACAAAGAGTAACCTTATTAATTTGTCATTTTTATCATAACAATAACTTGTAACATCTTAGGATTGTTCCTTAAACTTAAAGTAAAGTATAATCCACTTTATCTGCTACAAAATGATTGCATGTCTACACTTTCTGTGAATACTGACATTTAAAACAATTTTTTCCTACGTGTAAGTGTACCACACATACTTAACTGGATATTTGATGAAAGCGGCCAGATATATATTATGTCCAAGTCATCAAAACATTATATAGATAGCATTTTTAGGGTACCACAGTTTTATCTATATCGCATACCTGCAAACCTGAAAAATATTTGGTAAGATATATGCATGCCATACACATATCATCCTATAGTGGATACATAAGTGGAATCAACATTGATCACGCAAATGGATATCAGAAGATGTATAAATAAACTAAAATGATCACAAAAACTTATCACATCAAAACAAGAAGAGAGGGTCTTATTATATTATACAGTTCATTCAAGAACAATGACATTCCTTTCTTGACTACCTAGTTAACTCCACAACACTGTCTATCCTTCCTTAACTAGATATACACCTTGTTAACTCCAAAACACTAACTATCCTTCCTTAACTGGGATATACACCTAGTTAACTCCAAAACACTAACTATCCTCCCTTAACTAGATATACACCTCGTTAACTCCAAAACACTAACTATCCTTCCTTAACTAGATATACACCTCGTTAACTCCAAAACACTAACTATCCTTCCTTAACTGGGATATACGCCTAGTTAACCCCAAAACACTAACTATCCTTCCTTAACTGGGATATACCCCTAGTTAACTCCAAAACACTAACTATCCTTCCTTAACTGGGATATACGCCTAGTTAACCCCAAAACACTAACTATCCTTCCTTAACTGGGATATACGCCTAGTTAACTCCAAAACACTAACTATCCTTCTTTAACTGGGATATACGCCTAGTTAACGCCAAAACACTAACTATCCTTCCTTAACTGGGATATACGCCTAGTTAACTCCAAAACACTAACTATCCTTCCTTAACTGGGATATACGCCTAGTTAACTCCAAAACACTAACTATCCTTCCTTAACTGGGATATACGCCTAGTTAACTCCAAAACACTAACTATCCTTCCTTAACTGGGATATAAGCCTAGTTAACTCTAAAACACTAACTATCCTTCCTTAACTGGGATATACACCTAGTTAACTCCATTACACTGTCTATCCTTCCTTAACTGGATGTGCTCTAGATCTGGAGTCCTGAGATGTAAACAGGTTATTACAATAATTTAGACAAACTAGCACTACTCATGAGATTACTGGACATGGCTGACAGTTATATGATGGACCCAAGGTGAAACCATTAGTGGGCTAGTCTTCCTAAATGCAGCTTTATGTCACACAGACGCCAGCAGAAACTTATATGTGTTTTGATGATTGGCAGTGACCATTAGCTGAACTCTGAAGGACGAAGTGAAAAAAACATTCAGCCCAGGTTTTTAGCTTAAGATTAAACATATCTAAAAAAAAATGATGTTGAACAAAGCATGGCTAATCAAACAATACATATTTTATTAGTGACTAATAATCATTTGTGTGTCCTACCTAACACTGAAATACAACAGTTTGGACTATGTCCCTATCATGTAGAGTGTCCTACCCTACACTGACATACTGCAGTAGGGACTGTTTCCTTACCATGTATGTGTTCTACCAAACATTGACATACTGCAGTAGGGACTGTTTCCTTACCATGTATGTGTCCTACCAAACATTGACATACTACAGAAGGGACTGTTTCCTTACCATGTATGTGTCCTACCACATACTACATACAGTAGGAACTAATTCCCTGTTATGTGTCCAGCGGAACAATACATTAGCAGTAGAGCTATTTCCCTGTCTGGTATCCTATCAAACACTGGCATATCTCAGCCTATTTACTTAATGAATGTCCAACCAAAGATTGACATACAACAGTGTAAGGAATATGAATTCCTGGTCATGTGTCCCAACTCACATTGACACACACAAAAGCTACTATATTCCTACTAATGTGTTCAACCCAAAGTTATATATTTGTATATTGTATAGAGTCAACATGAACAACATTAGGTCTCTGTCCACGTTTTCTTGATCTGCAAATCCATTGTGTAAATGTGTATATATATCTTTGGTACCTACAAAGCATATCAATCCCAGAACGAAGGGATTTGACTGTTTTACTGATTCATGAGGCACAATATGCCTCTCAGCTTCCTCCTCAGATTGCTAATGGATGCATTGATTCTCCTCCTATCTTTACTTTCCATTAGGCTTGCTACCTATATGTGACCTACAACAATGATACAGACAGCAAATAGCTCCAAGTGATACCCTTTCGACATCAAGGAACACCAACCATACATCTCCCTCACACACGGTACAGACAAGAAATGGTGTCAACTGTTTCTGTCTACAAGATCCCGACAATGAAAAAACCATATCAATTCAAGCATTCCCACAATTATTACCAACAACCAACTAGATCACATACAAATGTGTGTAAAATGCTTTCATCTGAACCTGATTACAAACTGAAATAAGGTTATGTCTAGCAGACCACAATAACATGTCACAATGACCTCAGATTACCACATAAACAGGCAAATCAATACATTGTAAAGGGGACAACAAGAGTTCAAAGGTGAAACAGTAATGTTAGGTCCCAGGGCAAATACCAGTAACATCTGAACAAGGGAAAGGTAGTATTGACTGAAAATTAATGAAAGTGTGGTGTCTGATACATATACAGGTATGTTACTCATGGAGGTCAGAATGAAAGGTTGTTTTTCGTTCGTATTGAAATCACAGCATTTAAGTCTTAAAAGTCACCTTTAATAAAGACCACCTCTCTATTAAGGCCACTCATTTTGGTTCCTAATTTGATACAATTCATAGATGGAACCTTTACACAAAAGCCATCTGTCTATGAAAGTCACTAATTTCTTTGCAAATCAAGGGGAACTGAAATGGTGAAGCTGTTACTGCTGATATCCAGCAGTTTAAGAAATATCAATATTCTGTGATGTTTCAAACATGTTTACCTGTATTTACTATTTCAATACTTTTACCTTCTATCTATATCCATTGTGATAGATATATTACTAACCTTTGATGTATCAAATCAATATCTATTGTAATTTTTTATTTACATGTATGACCAGTTTGCTTTCAATCTATTTGATCTTCAGGTTTTGCTTCTAAGTACATATTTTATATTCGTTTTGATCACGCAAAATCAAATCAACACTTTAAACCATTCTTTATCATATCCACCTCAAGG